CCAAGGTGGGTACAGGTGTGAGCAGATGCCTGCTCTGACCTCTAACAGACAGCCTTTTACTCTGTCAAGGAGTGCAGCTCAGAATAGGTACACAGGTAGAAGAGATTGTGGGTCCCAGTCCAAATTTGGTTCCCAGCCATCATTCCCTTTTTTGAAGTGGAGGTTGAGATCAGGGCCTTCATACTGAACTACATGCTCAGCCTTTTTTGTTTGCTTGCTCGTTTGTTTATTCTGAGGTAGAGAATGAAGTTACTAAGTTGTCCAGACTGGGCTTAAACTTTCAGTGCTCCTGCCTCTACCTCCTGGAATGTTGGGACTGCAGGTGTACACCACCACAACCAGCTCAAGCTAGGTTTTTTTTTTTTTTTTAATCAAAGCATCTGAGCAGAAGTTTGAGGGCTTTGCCTGAGATGGGGAGTAGGAAAGCAGCTTGGCAGTAACCTTGAAGGGAGGCTAGCTAGCTCTTCCATTCACCAGAGGGGGGACCTTGGTTTAGAACCCACTGGGCTTAGTCTGGGGAGATTTATAAATCTCCCTTTCAGGATACAAATGAACTCTGGAGCCTCTTCCTGCTCCAACATTCTGCATTTGTGGAATGGTATGATTCATGCTGCACTCGGCTTCTCTCCTGTTGCAAGACCTGACCTCAAAGCCAGGTGTGATGGCACATGCCTGTAATCCCAGCTGCTGCAGAGGCTGAGGCAGGAGCCTCAAAAATTTAATGCCAGGGCCGGTCAGATAGCTCAGCTCAGCAGACTAAAGCAGCTGTTTAGGCAGAGCGCAGCAGCTGGGCTTCTATCTCTGGTGCACCATGCCGGCCCCACCCCCAGTGCATGCTGAGAGGGCGACAGATACTGGGCATGGTGGTGCGCAGCTGTAATGCCAGTGCTTGGAAGGTTGGAAACAGGAGGATCACTAAGAGTCTGATCTGTGTAGTGAGACTCTGTAGACCCTGTACTAAATACATTAAAAACAAAACAGAACAAAAATCCAAAAATAAACCTCTCCTCATTAATTTTTTTATGTCAGGTATTTGGTCACAGCAATAAAAAGCTGACTAATACAGGGGTTCCTAATAGAGACTATGGGGGTCTGTGGCATTATAGGCAGCTTGTGGTGTGGACCCTTTCTGCTCTCAAACCTCCTGGTGCTAGTTTAGAGGGACCTCTGATGAAGGCTGGGTTTCAACTGCCTTGGTTTCCTCTCTTTTTGTTCTCTGTCTGTCTCTGTCTCTCTGTCTTTCTCTGTCTCTGTGTCTCTGTCTCTGTCTTTCTCTATCTCTGCCTCTGTGTCTCTGTCTCTCTCTGCCTCTGTCTCTCTCTCTGTCTCTCTCCTTTTCTTTCTCTCACATTGGGGATTGAACTCAAGGCCTCAGGCACATTACTCAACCACCCTACCACTAAGCTACGTCTCCAGCTCCTCCCTTTTTTGAGACAGGGTCTTGCTGTGTAGCTCAGGCTGGCCTTGAACTCACTATGTAGCCCAGGCTCCCCTTGAATTCACAGCAATCCTCCTGCCTCAGCCTCCCAAGTGCTGGAGCTATGGGTGTATGTCACCTATAACTCAGCCCCAGTCCTTTTAAATTTTATTTTCAGACAGTCTCACTAAATTGCCTGGGCTGGTGTGAGAATTTCCACTCCCTGCATCAGCCTTCTGAGTAGCTGAGATTACACTAATGCATCACCAAGCCTGATCAGGGCTGGGTTTTGAAGGCCCTGGACTCAGAGGTCCCTCAGCTCCTACAGATGCTCGGAGATCTGTCCATGAGGCCATCTTCCCAGAGGCTCCCTCTCTCAGGGAGCAGCATTCCCCAAGAGGCCTGAAGAACACTTCTTTGAAGCCATGGAGTCAAAGGGAAGGAAGGAGGCCCAGGGCTCTAACAGCAGAATGAAATGGAAAAGTCCTTAGGTGACATCCAGTAAAAGCCTGTTCCACTTGGCCACCATCAGGCATGGTGTGAGAACTCATTGCATGAGAACTGTGTGGGGTTGAGGGTCCATAAGCACCTGAGACTGGGAGCATCAGTCTTTATCCTCTTTCTCACCTGCCAAGTTGTGATGTTGGCCACTGAGGAAGGAACCTCAGGGTCACTTCCTGTCACTGCCAAAGCAATAAGCTCCCTGTGGTCCACTGGGCATAGGTGGGGTGGGGTTAGCACTATATTTGGGAGAGCCTAAGATCCATTTTGAAGGGAAGGGAAGGGTAATTGACAGAGGGGTCTTTATGTAGTCTGGGCTGGAAAATACATAAGCTTTTCTTAAGTATTTAGTACAGGGTCTATAAGGTCTCACTACACAGATCAGACTTGTAGTGATCCTCCTGTTTTCAGCCTCCCAAACATTGGGATTAAAGGTGTGCGCCACAATGCCCAGTCTCAGTTTTGGTCTCAGTGTGCCCCAGCAAGGCATGCACAGCACAGGCATGCCAGGGAAGGAAAGGTTTATTTTTGACTCATGGTTTCAGAGGTCTTAGTCCATCGTCAGCTAGCTGCTACCAGGAGCACTATGGCAGAAGGGGCGGTGGAGGAAGGACACTCACCTCAAGGTAGCCAGGAAAGACAGAGGGAGAAAGGGGCCAGGCTACCTCAGCAACCTACTTCCTCCAACAGGCTGCACCTCCCAACATTACATTCAATTATGAACACATTAATGCATCAATTAACTGATGAGGTCAGTACTCCATGATCCAATCATCTCCTAATCTGAATACATGAGCCTTTGGGGTGACATTTTGTAACTCCCAGGCTGGGTGTGGGGAAACTCTACATACCTGGCTTTGGAATGTCCTATACTGTCAAATGAAAGTTGAGGGGAGTTCAGGTATGTAAAATTCAAGAGTTCAGATATTATAAGAACCAGAGGGCCGGCCAAATAGCTCAGGGGCTGGGGGTTTGATACCCGGGCCTGCTGGGCCAGCCCTGCCCCCAGAGCATGCTGAGATGGCAATTGAGACTGGGTGAGGTGGCGCACACCTGTAATCCCAGCTCTTGGGAGGATATAAACAAGCAGATCACTACGAGTCCAATCTAATAGTAAGACCCCAAACACCTCCCTGTAGATCCTTCCCTAAAATATGTATTTAAAAAAGATATTATAAGAACTGATCTTTTTTTTTTTTTTTTTTTTTTGAGACAGGGTCTCACTATGCAATTTGGGCTGGCCTTGTTCTCACTTTTGTAACCCTCAGGCTGGTCTTGAACTCACAGAGATCTTCCTGGCTCAACCTCCAAGTACTGGGATACAGGCGTGTGCCACCATGCCCCAAGAACAGATCCTCTATATGGTGGAAAAATGTGGTCAGGAACCCCAAATTTGCTATGGGCCCAGAAGAAGACCCTCTCCATCCCCAGGCTAACATGTCATATCTGAAAGGGCTCTAAAGAACTCTCCTAGGGAGACTGGATAGGATACAGTGACTGGCCAGGTCTTCCCCACCAGAGCCAATACCTAACTATTTGTTCTCACGTGGGCCCTGGACATGCAAGAGAGGGAGGATGGCCTAGCAGACAACCTATTTGTCCCTTAGAAAGAGAGAAGGCCTGAGTGTTCATTGTCAAGATAGGCAGGAGACATCTGGAGAGAGGCTCAGGGTCTTGCCTGAGATAGTGGGGAAGTAAAACACAGTGCTAGGAGCAGTAGATGGGGAGGCTCCGCCATTCTTTGAGTTGGAGAGGGGGCTTGCCTGTGTCTCCACTTCCTGGGGAAGTATGAGGTGGTTTACAAAGCACCTTCCCTTGATTCAGTTTCTAGGGCCTCTTCCTGTCTCATCATTCTGAAGCTCTAGAAAGGTATATGATTTATGCAGGGCTCTGAGAGGAGATTTTGGCCTATGGAGAAGGGGTAAGAAGGATGACAGGAGAGAGAACAGTGAAAGAGGGCACCATGTATGTCGGGTGAACCATGGAAGCCAGATAGTAAAGTAGCTCCCAAGAAAAGAAGTGGCTTTGGCAGACAAAACAAGGGACTTAAAGGATTTAAAAATGAATCACTGGGGCCAGGGAGATGGCTCAGTGGAATAAGCACTTCCCTGGAAAGTGCAGAGGCCTGAGTTCAATTCCTGGTTCCACAAAAAATAAAATAAAATAAAATAAAAATGAATTATTTGTGGCCCAACATGGTGGCACACACCTGTAATCCTAGCACTGGAGAAGCTGAGGCAAGAGGATCCAAGTGAGTTTGAGACTAGTAGCCTAGGCTACAAAGTAAGTTCAAGGCCAGCCTGAACTGCATAGTGAGATCCTGTCTTAAAAAAAAAAAAAAAAGAAAAGAAAGAAAGAAAAAAGATCATTTTTCTTTTACAGCCAAAGAAAGAAAATTTTGATTTATGAAATCCAGAGCTAAGGACAATGCATACAAATATCTATAGAGATCTTCACCTGGACTTTTGGGGGCCACTGAGTCTGCTCTTCTGTCCTTCATCCTAAAGGCCACATGCCCTAATCCTAGCCCCCCATCACAGATCCTTAAACTCCCATGCCTTTTTACGATATCTTGGGGTCTGAACCCTGTCCTGCGTCCAGCAGATGCCTGCTGCACGCCTTTCCTCACTTGCCTTATTTATTTATTTATTTATTTATTTATTTATTTATTTATTTGGTACAGGGTCTCACTATGCAGCACAAACTCATAGAGATCCTCCTGTCTTAGCCTCCCCTGCACTGGGATTGCAGGCGTGCACCACCATTCTCCGTTTCAGTGGCCTGCATGGCGGCAGTGCCGCACAGGGCCAGCAAGGTGCCAGTACGGCAGGCTGTACTGCGGATCGAACCCAGGTCCTGGAGCTTAGCCTGCCAAGCTATCTTCCTAGCCCCAGGGCTCCATCTTTTCGGTATTTCTTCCATCGTAGTTTGGGGACAGGCAGGTAGAAGGGAGAAAGTACACACAGATGGAGGGGAATGAAGAGTCTGAGGGAAGAGGCAGAGCGAAATGGTGGGCCAAGGCCATTCTGGAAGGACAGGGCCACAAAGGAATCCCTGTCTCTCGTTCTCTCCAGTCGCACCCATGCCAGCCACCAACCAAGGCTGGCCCGAAGATTTCGGCTTCCGGCTGGGCGGCTCTGGTCCCTGCTTCGTGCTCGAGGTGGCCGAAGGGAGCAGCGCACACGCTGGGGGCCTGCGGCCTGGGGACCAGATCGTGGAGGTGGAGGGCGTAGCGGTGGGTGGGCTGAGCCGTGAGCGTCTAGTGAGCCTGGCTCGGCGCTGCCCTCGCGTGCCCCCCAGCCTCGGCGTGCTCCCTGGTCCAGATGGCGGCCCCTCAGCTCTGCCCACAGCACCGCGGGTCGCGAGTTCCGGTCGGGGCCTCGCACTGGGCCGCGAGCTGCTGCGCCTAGCCGGCCGCAAGCGCCCTGACGCCGTGCACCGAGAGCGCAGGCGCAGAGCCCAGGAGTTCAGCAGAAAGGTACCCTGGAGGACGCGGGCGGGGCGCGGGCGCTAGGGGGCGTGGTTAGAGTGGCGGGCCTTGGCGGGTGGTAGACGTGGCTAGCAGGTGAGGGGCGAGGTGAGCAGAGCATCGCTCTCAACAGCTGGAGCTGGAAGATTTCCTGAGACAGTTTAACAAAGTTAGAATGATATTCAGCCGTCAAGGCCTTGTACCTAATTTTGATAGTTTTGTTCACTTGTTCTGTAGGGATTTTCTTTCTTTTTTTGATTGAAGCATTGCAGATGTAAAGTGTATTAAACAGACAGCTTATAGGGGCACCTATGGTCCCAGATCCTGGGAGACTGAGGCAGGAGAATTGCTTGAGCAGAGGAGATTGAGACTAGGCTGGGAAACACCCACCCACCCATACACACACACCCCTATATCAAAATAAATTGTAAAATGCAGGTGCCATTCTGGAGTTGGAGCTCAGCGGTAAGGCATCTGCTTAGTATGTAGGGGGACCTAAGTCCAATTCCCAGCACAGCAGGAGGAAAAAATCAGCAACAATACGTGTACAGCCCAATAAATTTTATACAGCCTTACACTCTTGTAACCATTATCCTGATCCTGATGTAGAATAAAACACAGATAATGATAGAATGTAGACTGTAGCAGAATTCCTTCACCCCAGAAAGTTCCCACATGCCCCTTTTCCTGTCTCTTCTCCCTATTAGAGGACTCTACCCTCCACCATGTCTTACCAAGTCCTGAAATTGAACCTATGGCCTTCACATTGAGCTAGAGCCCCAGCTTATTTATTTATTTATTTATAATTTTAAGACCAGGGACTGGGGAGACAGCTCAGCGGCACAAGCACCTGCCTGGCAAGTGCAAGGTCACGAGTTCAATCCCTGGTGAAAAAAAAAAAATTAAGACCAGATCTCACTAACTTGCTAAGTTGCCTAGACTGGGCTGAAACATGCCATGTTCCTCCTCAGCCTGCCGGTATGCTGGGATTACAGGTGGGCACCACCACACCCAATTACTAACTGATCTTCTCACATTCATTTCTATCCATGATTTTTGTCTGTTTGTGACCCTTATATAATGGAATTACTCAGTATGTACTGCTTATTACCTGGCTTTTTTTGCCCAACATTGTAGCTGAATTCCATCCACACTGTGTGTAGGAGCAGGGATCCTTTCTATTTCTAGTATTAAATTAGTGATTTTTTTTTTAATTTTAGGGAAGGGTCTATAGGATGTTCAGAGTCTTGCTGCTAGATCGGACTCATAGTGATTTGTCTGTTTACAACCCCTCAAGAGCTGAGATTACAGGCATGCGCCACCGCGCCCAGTCTCAATTGCTGTCTCAGCGCACCCTAGGGACAGGGCTGGCATGGCAGGCCTGGGGATCAAACCCCTGGCCCCTGCACCTGCACCTGCTTGCAGGCACTTCTATCTGCTAAGCTATTTGGCCTGCTCTAGTAATCTTTTTTAAAGAGCTCACCTGTTCTGAGCTTCCACAAAACCAAAATCTGGTGTTGCCTAGCATGGCAGTCTGGCTGCCTGGCTGGCTAGCATAAGAAGTCCAACAATCTTCCAAAGGCATTTCTTGCAAGGCTTTGGCACTAATAAGCTTAGATGTGTCACTTGTGGAAACTTAGGGTGATCCTGAAGACCAAGAGCCTGGAATCGCAGAGACCTGAGACCATGGAGGAGCCCAAGGCTTGAGTCATGACAGAAGCAAGAGTTGATTACAGGCAGAGAGAGAAGGAGGTATAGTGCAGAGTCACAAGGCTGGGGGAGAATGACAGAGGACAGATAGGCCAGGTCTTAGTATAGCAGGCCATTCACTCTCATATGCCTATCCTCCAGGACCTTCAAAAATGTGTGCTTGTCTTACACTTGGCTGAGGCTGCAGCAGAACTAAGAGTGAACCTGTGTATGGCCAGGGAAGAATCTGGAGTCTGGATGCTCTGCTCCCTGCCTGAGGCTTTGGCCCCATGTGGAAGTCAAATCCAGAAACTCTACTTACTGAATCAGACACTTGCATTTAGGGACTTGTCCCCCCTAAAAGGGGAATTGCTCAGTCCTGTCCATGGAAGGACCCAAGAGTTGGGACTGGGATTGCAAGAGGCCTGGAAGCCCTGTCAGAGTTTGGCTGTTGCAGAAATGGCTCCTGGCCCACTCCCAAAGAATCAGCTGTGCACCACCCCAGCACCTTCGATGCTTAAGTTCAGTCCAGTCCTCACTCTTCTAATCCAACCCCTCAGAACCCTGTCCTCCATCATGTAGCCTGGGGTGAGCCCTGCCTAGGTCTCTGAGCCCTGTGGCCTGGATCAGGCTGCCCTCCATAACTAGGTGCATATGCTTCCTCCTGTACATACAAGACTCACCTCAGAGTTCCCTGTGTCACTAATGTTCAGCTCCTAAAAATCGTGACTTTCTGTGCTGGGGGTTTAGCTCATGGGAAAGCATGTACTCAGCATTCAAGAGACCCTGGGTTTAATCTCTAGCATTGAAAAGAAAAAGTGACTTTCTCCCTATACCCAGAATAGGCTCTGCTGCTATAACAAAATCAGCACCTTGGTGCTTTTGCACTAAGAAGTGTGCTCTTCACTGGCACAAAGACCTCTAGAGGTCCCAGTGACTTTCCAGAGTGGCTGGCATCCCCATGATGTCTCAGCAATCCAGCTCCCCATCTCTACTTGGATGATTCCGCTGAGGCTCTTAGGATAGCTCCTCCCATCAAGGCTGTGTAGCCAGAACTGGCTATATTGCTGCTCCCCAGTGTTGATGGGAAATGTAGTCTTTCATGTGTCTGGGAAGAGGTAGAACTAGAAATATTGGTGGGAATTAGTAATGTCTGCTATAATCCCACATAATTTGCCAGATAAATAAAAACCTGTCCCTGGTGCCATGTAATCCCTGCAGAGTTGGAAGGGGCATGCTCAGAGCTCTGCTTAGGACAGAGCTGTCTGGGAGGCAGGGCTTCCAGGGTAGAATCTGTCAGGCTGGCTGTGGTACATTTTCTAATGAGGAGGAGTATGGAAAAAGGGATTCTGGTTAGGGCTCACCAAGTACCCCGAAAAGCCAAATGCATCCCCAAGTAAGATTATCTCTGGAAGATGAAGGGCTTCTGCAGAACCCCCATTGCTTTTCAATAATCAGCCCCCTGGTTCTTGCCAGCATTTAGCCTGCCCCAGTTTTTCCTCCTTGAAGGAGCTAATATTTAATAGAAAAGCCATTAGTGTCCCGTGATGATGCCTCATGCCTGGATGTAGGTTGAGAACATCTAGGTAATAACTGACACCGAAACCACACTGTGGCACAGGCCCCAGGAGGGGGAACTATTTTTTCCTCTTTCTTATATAAAATGTCTCTGCAGCTAGCCATGTTCTCCTTTGAATCAAGGCTGCTGCTGACTTTGATTGCAAACTCTCCACCCTCGGCTGCACAGCAAGTGCAGGGAAAGGGGTGCTTGCTGCTACATCCAGAAGGCAGCAGGGGTCAGCTGTCAGCCTGCAGGAAATGCAGTTCCATGCTGCTCTTTGATTCAGTTCCCTAAATGTGCCCACCAAGCCCCATGCTTGAGGCTGGAGAGGGATCAGACAGTCGGCTAGCATGTCTGGTGGGGAGACGGACAGTGACATGTGCAGGGTGGAGGTGACCATGTACCAGGACTCAGACATTCAGGAAAAGTGGCCACTGCCTGGAATCCCTCTAAGCCCCCTACTAATGCTTACTCATCCACTCTGGGGTCACTGCCCTGGCCTTAATCTTGTCTTAATCCTCCAAAAGGACCATCTAGGGAGTAATGTTATCTATAGCTCTGAAGTTCAAGAGCACAGTCAGGTTGCAAAATCAAGCTCTGACATTCACTATATAGGGTCCTTGGCCCCCAGAGTCATTTGCGGCAGTTTCTGTCAAATAAAAAGATGACAGTGAGTCCTCACCTTCCTTATCTGTGGGATCTGGTACTGTGTGACTTGGGGCTTTTCCCCAGTCAAAATGACCAACAAGATGTACAAGTAGCCGGGTCTCCTACAACTGCTATTCCTGTGGGAAAGAGACAAGATGCAAGTAGCAAAATCAGCGAAGAGGCTGGGTGTGGTGGCACACAGATCACCACGAGTTCAAAGCTTATATAGTGAGTTAAAGGCCGTTCTGCACTACAACACAAGATTGTCTCAAAAACCAAAAACAAACAGCAATGGACAAGCAATTCCATATAATGAAAACTAAAGCAAGGCAGTTAAACAGAGTGAGAGAAGAGAGGGACAGAATATTTATTTATTTATTTATTTATTTATTTATTTATTTATTTATTTATTTGACAGGGTCTCCTTGGTTGTCCAGGCTGAGCTCAAACTCAAGATTCTCCTGCCTCAGCCTCCTGAGTGCTGGGATTACAGGCATGCACCACCACACCCAGCTACAATCAATTATTATTTTTTACCATCGATTTTATTTTATTTTTATTTTTTATCTTTCTTTTTCCTTTTATTTTTAATTTATCAGTACATGCTTGCAGTACATAATGGTTGCACTCATTGCGGGGGATTGGTACATGAGCACAACACATTTCAATTCTTTTTCCTCTTCCTTCTATTCTTCCTGTATTTTTCAAGCATCAGATTCATTTATCTTGTGAAACCTTATAAAAGCAATGGTACCCTATGCAGATTAAAAATCAGACTGATTGATCAAAAACCATGAAATATGTAAGACAGGTATCTTAAGTTGTCATACATTTAGGTACAATGTCCATGATGGATTAAGATAACTTTTTTCTTGTTTTTTTCCTATTACTTGTTCTTTATTTCATACTTTATTTATTTACATATTGTTTTTCATATAAGACAAACTATGTGCTATTTAACTTTTTTCTTCTTTCAATTTGTTTACCATCAATTTTGGAGTAGAGTGAATCCTGTCACTCTTAGCTATCACTCCCATGTCATGGTTTTAAATAAAGATGACCGGCATCATTCCATCATTCTCACTGGGCAAATGAAATTATATTGCATCAAATCTAAAACACCGGGGCTGGTGAGATGGCTCAGTGGTCTAAAGCACCTACTTAGAACAAGCTTAGCAAAGCACAGGGACCGCAGTTCAATCCCCCAGCACCACATGCCAGCCAGCCCCGCCCCCTGGTGGGCTGAGCTGGCCACACACACACACACACACACACACACACAAATAAAATTTTAAAAAAATCTAAAACACCATCCACTGCAAGATGACTGTTGTTTATTTGATACTAAGAAACAAAGCACTCTCCTGATTAACCCATAACACACGCTTCTTTATTACCTTCTTTTTTCTTTATCATCTTCTCATCACTTAATTTAGTAATTTTTGGAAGCCCTGTTGCTTAAACATATTTAATACCAGGAATGCACATAACTTAGCAGAAGTAACAATATGAGCACTTACAACCCAATATGCACATGCATAGGAATGGTAACCAGCAGTAAAACTCACCCTGATTTCAAAGCTGTTAGAAAGTCAAACCGTTTCAAAGCTGAAAAAAAGTCCATCCTAGAATCAGCGATATACAATGTTGATAGTCTGTTGTGCACTCAGTTATAAAGTAATGAAAGTTGATTCCACTGACTTAGGCGGGAAAAGAATTTTCAGTTCATGGAATGAGCACTGGAGCCTCAGGCTTAGAACCAAGGACGGATTGCCACACAGGAGCAGTGTTGTCCCAACGCACCTTTCAGGAAAGATCTACTCCGAGTGTGCTGCAGGGCTCTGGCACTACCTTGAAGAACCTTTGCATTTTTGTATCATTTCTTCAGAAGCCAAAGTCCTGATCTTTATCTGGTCTCTGATCAGCCAGGTTCTCCAACTGGCCAAAGATACATCAGGATTTGGCTTTTCATTTGGCGTAGGATTTCCTCTCTCTCACCTCAGTAACCAAGAAACTACAAATATCTCCCATGTGGATTGCTGCAGTTATTTAGACAACATTGTCAGGTATTTTTATTGCTTCTAACATCTGAGGATTATAAACGCTACACAGGCAAACCTTTGCACTCATACATCATTGTGCCCTTGTCTTGTCAGGACATGACTAGCATAAATTCCTACACAACAGGTCACTGGGTGAAGGAATAGGCTTTAGAGCCAGGCATGGAGGACAGAATGTAATTCCAGCATGCTGGGAGGTTGAAACAGGAGGTTCAGATGCTTGAGCCCATGCTGGGAACTTAGACACACTTAGTAAGACCCTGTTTCAGAAAAAAAAAAAAGCCAGATGTATTGATACACACCTGTAATCCCAACACTTGGGAGGCTAAGGCAGGAGGATTGCCACAAGTTCAAGGCCAGTCTGAACTAAATAGCAGGACCCAGTCTTGATAGATAGATAGATAGATAGATAGATAGATAGATAGATAGATAGACAGACAGACAGACAGACAGACAGACAGACAGATGTCAGTGCAAAGGCCTTGGGTTCAATTCCCAGTACTGGAAGGAAAAAAAAAGAATGGGCTTTAGAAACACTTCACCATTTTCCAAAAGTAGATGCACACTATGTGCATCTGCAGGCCAACTCCTTGGAGGAGAAGTGCCTGGTTTAGTGTACACTTGTTTGTGCACAAAAAAGGGGAAAACAAAAATCCATGAGGAGAACAGAAGTTGTCAAAATTTAGAACTGCACATGCTTTTTTATGAAGCTGGAATGTTCTCTGCGGGCTCTCTCAGTGAACAGTGCGTGGAACCGAACATAGTATTATAATAATAGTAACTAGCAATTAGTGAGTGCCTGGCACATTTTCAAGCTCTTGTTTTGATTCCCTTGGTTCTTAGAATATTCATTAGAACAGTTCCCTAGAGTTTGAATACTGACCCCCTAACCTTGTAACCTATGTCCGTTCCTTGAACTGTCCCATAACATCTTTCTTTCTTTCTTTCTTTCTTTCTTTCTTTCTTTCTTTCTTTCTTTCTTCCCACCACAAATTTCTGTCCTGGGAGTCATTTTGCCTCTATCACCTTAGGTTGCTTAGAGGTAAAATGAAGATTCTAACCATGCCCATCCTAGGGCAACTGTGAGCTTTGAAATGATGTGATGGTGCAAAGCACTCTCCGCATCGGCTACCCTGTGCAGGTAAATTGAGGGAAGAAGGGAAGTTGGTGAGTGATCCTCTATGGTTCTCCTTTGGGCCCCTTTGTGCAGGTGGATGAAATCTTGAGGGACCAGCCAGCTGCCAAGAAACAGGTGTTTGGTGCACTGAAGCAGTTTGCAGCTGAGCAGCGGGTGGATGACCTAGTGTGGGCCCTCACCCTGGTGCTGCCCCACGAGACCCGCGGGCCACTCCTGGACAACCTCAGGTACCTCTGTTGGGGTCAGGATGCCCATGCCAGGTGGGTTTCCCTCATAGCTGGCCTCTCACCACGAGAGACACCAGGCCAACCCAGCTGGGAGATGGGAGTCTGATCTTAAACTGGCCCCAGCACACCTTCAACCCAAAGCAAGGGTGGCCCAGGGACCTTGAAGGGCAGCCAGAGGAAGGCTGCCATGACATCACATTGCAGGAGGATGGCAGGGGCTACAGTCTGCTGAACTGTGCCAGGGCTTAGAGAGGACACATCTTCTGATGTATCACAAATCTATGTGGGAAAATTCCCCCAAAAGATGCCAAGACACTCCTAGTTCTCCAATGAGGGGGCAGTGGTACAATATGCATACAGGAAACTTAGGCTGTGCTATGGACCCGTACCCCCTACCCCACCCTACAGGCATCAACTGCTCTCTGACCTTTGACCCTTGATGTTGATAATGGGTGTGTGCCAAGGACCTCATCAACTAAAGGAACTCTCTCTGGATGGAATCTCTCAGTGCCACTATAGCCCCATTTTACAAAGGCAAACTGAGGCTCATTGAGATTCAGGAGCTGGCCCAAAGTCTCACAGCATATTAGTGGCAGTAACAGGACCATAAAGCAAGTCGGCCAGACACTTTCTGCTCAGCCTGTAGGTTTGCTTATCACAATGCAGAAGAAATTCCCTGTAAATCTTCACCTAGAAAGACCCCTGGTGACCCAGAACTCTCTGGACCCCACTTCCTGCCTGCTCAGCTTTCTCCATGATAGAGGGACTGCTACTCCCCAATCCTGCCTGGCCTCTTTTGCCCCCTATTCTGTGCCTGCTCCTGGCCCTCCTGTTTCCCGGGCTCAGCCCTCTCCCTCCTCTCGCTGCCATTCACCCCACAGCCTGCCCCTCCCTCTGGGCCTGGCCAATGTCAGGGACGGGACTGGCCAACCTCCCCCCCCCCCTCCGCCCCAACCAGCTGGGCGCGCTTCTCAGCTCTGCAGTGGAGCAGAGGAGGCCACCGAAAGAGGCCACCATGAGCTGCCTGGGGTGAGTAAGGGGCCTGTCCCTCGCTAAGAAAAGGCAGCAAGGGGAAGGAAAAAAAAAGTTATTTCTAGAGCTGAAATTGCTGTGGAGATGCTGCCTATTGCTGAGGGCTTCCTGGGAGGTGACAGATAGCAATCCCCGACCCCGCCCCGCCCCGCCCGGCAAGCTTGTCTCTGAGCTCCCAGCTGCCTGAATCAACTGGAAGCCCTCTGGGGTCCCCCTTTTCCCCTTAATGTTGCCCGGCTTCAGTGCCGCTGCCTTCCCTGGCTGCTGTTCCGCCCCAAGCCACCAGTGGGTCAAGGGGGGTGGGGTGCTCCATTTAGATTCTGGGAAGCGGGAACCCAGGCCACCTGGTGATGCCGGGTGCCTCCCAGCCTCCCTGGGGTGCTGCTGAGGGGGTGTGTGCAAAGCGGCAGCCTGTGTTACCAGCGGGTGTCAAGTGCGACAGGAAAATCCGGGAGGCTGTTAGAGGAGGGGCAACGCCCAGCTGGGCTCAGTAGAGAGAAGATTACACTGGCAGCAGGGGGGTTAGCGCCCCCCACAACTTGAGAATCCCTCCCTTCAGAAGCCTGGCTGGTTGCCAGCAGCCTCACCACGTGCTGGGCTCTAAGAACCCAGCAGGGATTGAAGAGTGAGCACAGCACTTGCAGACACAGCTGAGATTGGGCATGGAGAAGGCATGGCCACAGCTAGCTGTGATCCTGGGGGCTTGAGTGCCAGCTGAGGGGCAGCCCATGGCTAGCTTAGCCCTGGGCAATCCAGGCAGACTCCTGGGGGAATCCAGGCAGATGTGGCTCAGATAGTGACTGCAGGAGTTGGGCATTGTGCCCTTTGGAGAGGTTAGGACAGTCCCCAAGGAGTCTGCCAAGGCTAGGTATCTAGTCACAGATGGTGAGGGTATTGGCCCATGGAACACAGCAATGCTTAGTTTAGGATGAGGCAAGGCACCAGGAGTCACTGTCTCCAAGGACCCCACATGAAGTGGAGACAGGCTACAGGGAGAGGTTGGGCAGCTAAAGGGGCACTAGGTGAAGAACTATATTTTTGTGTGTGTGTGCGCGCACGCGCGCGCACGCGCGCGCACACAGTGGCCCAAGTGACCAAACAAAAGCATTGGGAATGCAAGGAAGGAAAAGTGAGACCATGACCCTAGACCATCTGGACCAGTAGCCTCTCATCACATGTGGCTATTTAAAATTTAATTAATATTCAATAAAGTTTGGAGTACAGCTTAACCTCACAAGCAGTACATCAAGCATTCAATAGCCATGTATAGATAACAGCCACTGACTGTCTGTGCCACATGGGCAAAGAACATGTCCAAGTTCCTTTGTACAGTGTGGCAGTCAAAGGCAACAGGCAAAGGGTGAGATGGGTGAGTGGGTCCAACCTAAGCAAAAGAAATCAACTTAGCTGAGTTTAGTAGCCATTCCACAATCTCAGCACCAAAATAAACTGAGGCATGAGAATCACAAATTCCAGGCTAGCCTGGCCAATTTAGCAAGAACCTATCTCAAAATAAAAATGTAAAAGGACTGGGAATATAGCTCAGTGGGAGAGCACCCGTGGATGAAATCCCCAGATCCACATAAATAAATGAATCATCTCCCTTTACAATGGCAGTGAACATTGCCACTCCACACAGAGTCTAATTTGGGTCTGTCCCCAAAGGGATCCCAAGCTGATGAAGTGGTACAATGTCTTTCTAATTAGGACAAGACAAGCAGTTTGGAAAGTGTGACGTGGCCATGAGGGAACAAGAAAGCAGTTTGTTTTGCAGTGAGCTGGTTTCAGGGACTATGAGGAGCTGGAGTAGGTGGAAAAGGGCAATTGATGGGTGAGTGGGAAAGAAGCAGCAGAGGTGATGAAGAAGCTGCAATTCGCAAACTTTACAGACCTGGAACCCCAGCTTCCCTCACTGACAGTACAACAGAAAGCAGATTAATTGACCTTTACAGTTTGTCTGTAAAAATAAGGGTAGTCAAACTTACCTGTTCCATCCTAGGTGTGATTGTGCACACCTGTAATCCCAGCACTGGGGATGCTGAGGCAGGAGGATTGCAGTGTGTTTGAGGCAGGCCAGCCTGGGCTATCTTGTGAGATCTAGACCAGCTAGAACTACATAGTGAGACCCTGTCTCAACAACCTCCCCGCAAAAGAAGCTTTGTTCCAAGCAGGATTGTTCTTAAGAAACCTTATAAATGAAGTGTGCCATCTGTAAACAGAAAAGAGATTAGTTAAGAACCTGGAGGTGGAATGTCAGGGACCTCTTGTCCCCTTTTTGCCTCTTCTACCTTGGTGACAAGTGTCAGGGACACCACAATAAAGAGTTATTGGGAGATTTTTATGAAGTAATCTGGATAGAAGTGTCAAACATATTGTATGGTCTCAATTAGTATTGGTTTCCCTGAAGGAGGGTCTCTTTTTTCTCAGAGCAAAATTTTCAAGCATGATACTATTGACATTTCTGATCCATTCTTTTTATGTTGTTTGGAATGGGCCTGTGTCTATAAGACTTTTAATAGAAGCAGCATTGGCCTCTACTCACTAGTACACCCTACTCCTAGCTGTCATCTTGTGACAACTAAAAATGCCTCCAGACAAACATCTCCTAGAAGGCAAAATCACCCCTGGCTGAGAACTACTGCCCTGGAATGATCTCTGGCAGTGCTCTATGGTGAAGGTAGGAACATCAGAGAAGTTCTGCTCCACTGTCATCTGGCCCATCCTGTGCTGCCTTGGGTCATGTGGTCAGTGGCTGGCCCCACCAGGGGCCTTTCCTGTGCTAATAGGGACCAGTCCTGAAGCAGCATGTCTAGACTCCAGCATGGGTATTTGCACCACTCTTGCCTTTCTGCAGATGATGTGCATGGAGGACAGTTTCCATAGCCTTTGGCATGCCTGTTTCTGGGCCAGTGCTGGTTGGCATGAGGCAATCAGAAATGACTCTGTCATGGTGGAACAACTGTGGCCCTGCAGATGTCAGGGAGCTATGCTCACTGGGAGGGTGGTCAGCCCTTTCTCTCGCTGGAAGTGCTGAGGACAAAGTGTGAGGAGGACATGACATTAGGGAGCATTGGTTCTGGTCTCCTGCTGCTGCCAGGGAGGAAGTAGCCCTGGGAGGTCATAGTAAGGTGACAGTCTCACTGGGGCCAGGAAGTGGGGGCTGAGGTATAGTGTGGTAAGCAGCATGGTCTGATGATCAGCCCTGCAGGATCCTTCCTGGGACTGACTGTAGCAATCCTAAAACTGGCCCCATGATTGGGTCCTCTAAGGGAGACGGACTTCAATCCCAGGGTTTCCTGCCTCTGTGTGTGGTGGCTGCCTCCTGTTACAAGAGGGAACCTCATGCTCTTGTCTCCTACTGAGACTGTCTCTGACCAGCCCCCTCCCAGTACCTTGCACTGGCTACCAGAATCCATCGTTTGCTCTCAGATCTCAGATCCTACCCCTCTCCAGCAGCCAGGACTCTGGATCAGTGGCATTGGGCTTGCAGAGCCAGGCCTTGGCATCTGCGTGTGCTATGACTTCCAGGGAGTGGCAGGCCCAGATGCTTGGAGAGGTAGTCCAGAACCCTTCATGCTACCTCTTCCTCCTCCTTGGCTGTCCTCACCTCTCCTCTCCCTGCAGGACACTGTCTGTCAGCGTCCCATCCTGGCCACCCCATGCTCACTTCTAGCCCTAGACTCTTTCTCCCTCCTTTAGGGTTAGACTCCAGCCATTTGTCTCATGCAACACCTTTTCCTGTGTCCCTTCCAGCACTTCCTTCCTTCCCTGTACCAAAACCTACAGGAGTCCCTTCTCTACGCCTTAAATCCATAGACCTCAGTATGACACACCCTACCCCTGCCGTGGCTGTAGGGTGCAATCTCAGCTACTGACCGTGCCTTTCAAGGCCCCCCTTTCCAACCTCTTCTCCACCAGAGCTCCCCTAGGCAGGTGAGGGGGAGTTCTTGCAGGCGACTCTTCCTGAGCCCTGGAGGCCCAGCGCATTGGCCACCACCTCCAGAAAGCCTTCCCATGTTCTGCAAAAGACAGGCAAGGAGTCCTGTGAACTGCTGGGCGCCTCTGGACTGCTCCGTCTCCGCAGCAGCTGAATATTAAGACGCTGGAGTGCAGCGGGGCGGACCAGAGAGGCCGCAAGTGAGGAGCTCGCGGAGGGAATAAAGGAGAGAGCCAAGAGGAGCAATTTTGTCTGCCTGAACCGACCTCGACCCAGCCCCCTACTAGCTCAAGTATCCCCTGGTGGGAGGAGAGGGACGGGGCGGGGCCTCTGCGAAGGGGCGGGGCTGAGGCGGGGCGCGCTGGCCCAGCAGATGCGCGTGGAGTCGCTGTGCCCTTTCTCCGCTCGCCGGCTCGGCCACCCCCAGCCCTTCGGCACCTGCCGCGCTGCTGTCCCGACTCCAGATGGGGAAGGACCAGGGCTTCTCTCGGCACTTTAGGTAGCTTCCCCACCGCGCTCCCCCTGGAACTGGACGCGGCGGACCCACCTCGGGCCAGCCTGAAAGGGGTGGGGCGGGGGCATAGAGGGGCTTCTCAGCCCTGGGTGGGCACCCATAGAGCCTGGGCGGAGCCTGGGCGTTGGGGAGGTTGGAAATAAATGGGGTGTGTACAAGGGCGGTGAGGTTTGAATGTTGGGTGCCCGGAACTCGCGCGCAACTCAAAGAGTTGGGGGTCAGAAGAAAGCTGAGATTGAAAAGTACTCTTCCCTTGCTATGCTAGATGAAGGGACAGGGCAGAGAAAACAGGTTACCGGTAGGTGCTCTGGGTGAGAATCCAGCATGTCTTGTCCCCAGTTTAGAAGCCATGACCTCTGCTGCAGCGCACCCCAGATTAAGCTACCCAGGGAACCAGGGCACAGGGCACCCTCCCCCTACGTACACTCCTACAAATTAGATGAATGATGATCAAGGTCAAGATGGAGAAAGCTGGACAGCGCCAGGGAGTGTGGTGGAAAGAACTCCAGGAGAGCCTCTGGATGCAGGTCATTGTGGGGCTCCTGGAAGAGTCTGGGGGCCTCCGGGAGGAAGCCTTGCTGGCATAGAAGGGAGAGGCAGTGAATGATGTTTCTGCAATAGTCAGTTCAGCCCCATTGCACCTGGCTCTGCTGGAGCAGCCAATTTGGAGCAGACCCAGGCTGGGTGAGTGAGCCAGGCTGAGCTGCATGGAGTGTCCACAGGAGCCGGGCAGGGGTCTGGTTCACCAGGCAGCCTTGGCTTCTGGCCCATCCCCAAGGATGCCAAGCAGAGAACAAGCCTTAGTCTACCTGTAGAATTGGTGACACAGCCTGGTTCCTATCAGGGAGACCAGTCTTGGTACTGGAGGTAGAAGCAGGGCTAGTCACAGACACCTGCCTGGACTGGACTCAGGGGCTGGTTGTATGGGGTTGATGCCTTGCAGAACTGTCTCCTAAAGCCCCAAATATAGGACAGACAATCTCAGGTTCCTCATCCTTCTTTTGCTGGGCATGAGACAGGCAGACTAGGAGGGTGTGGGCAGATGAAGATGTCAGGCTCCAGAGACTTCCAGAGACCTTCAGTGACCATCTGGGGAAAGAGGCTGGGGCTGAAGGTTGTGGGAATCACTGTGGGTGGGCAGAGATGGACTCTTGGCACAACTGAATGGGTCATCATTCTGACCTCCTGGTCAGAATGTGTCCTAGTCTGAAGTGTCCAGACCCGGAGCAGACCTTGCTTGAGGGCAGGGCTAGCATACTCTTCTCTGGGAAGATCTACACCTCTTCCACACCAGGCAGCTTGTCCTGCCTGGCTGGCCTCATTTATCCTACCCATGGAGAGGAGGGGGGACTTTGTGGAGTAACAGGGCAACCTCAGAGGGGGGTGTGCCTCAGCTGGCTACAAGGCCATTACTTTTCTCTCTCTCCCCTACCCATCATGCCCTTGGCGCTGGCACTGGCTCTTATTACAAAGAACGAAGAAGGGAGCCTTGGGATGCAGCCAGGGAGGTTTTGCTAATTTCAGAATCCCTGCGCAGTGCTGATGCTCAGGAAGCTAGGCTCTTGTGCCAGTTGTGCCAGGAGCCAGCCATCTGTACAACCCTAGAAGGTTATGGATTCCCTCTGCGCCTCAGAATCCTCTGCTATGGATCACAGAGTCCACCAGGATGTTAGTTGCTGCTGTTCTGCAGAGATGTAGTGCTGCTGGCAGATGTGCTGGGTAGTGAGTCCCTTCCAGGTGCCAAGCCCTGGTTAGTTAGCACTGTGGCTCACAGCCCAGCTGCAGACCCAGCCTTCATAGTGCTTTCCTTCACAGAGGAGACTCTAGGATCCATCTCAGGGTGTGATCTTGCATGGGGGCTATCTCTCGCTGCCCACCAGTTCCAGGATGACTTTGGAGAGGAGGAGCCATAGGCCCTTTATTTTTGAGCTCCAGAGCCTGGCTCACTAAATGCATGTGGGATGAAATTGAAGGGAGGACTGGGTGTGAGAGGGCAGCCCTGCTTAGCTAAGGGTACAAAAAGAGTGAGCAGGTAGGGGCAAGAGCCTGAGCAAAAACTTAGAGGTGAGACTGCAGCTGACAATGTGATATTTCCAGCAAACTCCCAGTACACAGCTGTAGACCCTGCTGGTCAAAGAGGCAGGAAGGAAGACAGGAGGTGCCTGGGGCTTGGCCTGGAAAGGCCAAAGCATGAGAAGAGGGAATGGGAGAGAGGCTGGTGGAGAAAGAAGCTAGAGAGGATCTGGTCCATGGACTGGCTTTGCGAGTACTGAGGCCCCACAGAGACCAGAGTCATACAAGATAGCATGACCCTCGTTTCCTGAAGAAGAGCAAGTAGGTCGCCACAGACGTGGTGCGGCCCAAGATGGTTGGGAACACAAATCCCGACACGGAGTGGGAGACTGGATGCCCGCTACAGATTCCCCTGCCACCTTTGGGCAGAGTGGAGCCCCGTGAAAAGAAGACTTTGGACTGCAATTGGGACGCAGTCTGGGGTGCGCCCCAACTCTGCGGTCCTCGCTGGCAGGATCTTCATCCCCAAGAAGCACCGGGCGCGCTTCGACGAGGTGGTGTCACAGGGCCTGCTGGGCAAGCTGTGCCGCGCCCGCCGGACCCAGGGCGCGCAGAGGCTGCGCCGGAGCCGCAGTGAGGAGCGGCCCGAGCGCCTCCTGGTGTCCACACGCGCCAGCGCCGCGCCGCGTCGCCCCGACGAGCCGCCCCCGCGCAAAGCTGCCTCGCTGCTGGGTGGCCGCGCCGGCCCGGGGGGCATACGCAGGTACACAGGGTGCACGCAGGTAGACAGGGTACGGGCACTGAACGCCGACGCCCTTCTGGCACAGGCTGGGGATGGGGGAGTGGGCAGTGGGCATGGGAGGTGGGCATCTGGGGGCGGTCAGAGGAGGTTGAGAGGAGTGGGCTAAGGGACATCATAATCCCCTGCCTCTTGGAAACTGGCTCCTGCCTACCACCCTGCCCTTTCTTTCTTCCCAGGACTGTCCGAGTCTACAAGGGCAACAAGAGCTTTGGCTTCACTCTGCGTGGCCATGGTCCTGTCTGGATTGAGTCTGTCCTGCCTGGTAAGGACTGGGCAGGTTGTCCTAAGAGTTCCTAATGCCCAGGACAAAGTAAAGGCATCTTGTAGCACTCCTTGTAATTCTACCTGTGAAGACTGCTGCTCAGTAGTGCCCTACCCCCTCTAGCAGTGACCAATTTCATGTAGCCTGTGCTCTCTCAGTGTCCCAGAGCCACTTCTCTAAACCAGTTTACCAGCCTCCCTTCAGGGTGACCAAGACAGAGAGTGAGAATTAGCTGTTCCAATATGATTTGGTTTGGCTTGGTTTTAGTTTTTGAGATAAGGTCTTGCTGTGTAGTTCAGGTTGGCCTTGGACCCACTTGTAGCCCACACTGGCTTCAAACTGGCAGTAAATCTTCCTGTCTCACCTTCCCAAGTGCTGGGATTATAGGCATGTGACACCACACCAGACTTTGTGTGTGTGTGTGATTTTGTTTTCTTTGAGGTACTGGAGATTGAACACAAGGTTTTCACACTGAGTGACATCGTAGGTTTTTTGTGTTTGGTTTGTGATAGTCTTGCTAAGTCACTGAGTTACACCAGCTGGGCTTGCACTGACAGTCCTCTTCCCTCACCTTCCTTGTGTGCTGGGGTTACAGGCCTGTGCCATCACACCCAGATGCTCTCACAAGTGTTAAAATACGGGTTTTATTATTACTCAGGCATGACAAGACCAACAGGTCAGGAAAGATGTGCTTAAAGGAAAGTCCTTTGCCACCCTTCCCTGAGTGTCCTCTCTTACCTGTAGAGCCACAGAATGGCATGTGGCCTTGCCCCGCTGACCAGCACACCCCTTCTCCTCACTTCCAGGCAGCCCAGCTGACAATGCGGCCCTCAAGTCAGGTGACCGGATCCTCTTCCTCAATGGACTGGACATGAGGTCAGAGGCTATCGGGGGTGTGAGGGCTTGATAATGAACTATCTCCCAGGACTCTTGCCCATGGGACCCAAGCCAGGATCCCAAACTCCTCTGACCCTTTGACCTCCAACTTTGGTCTTTCACTGAGAACTCTTGAATCAAACCCTTCCCACCTGGTCATGACCTCAGTTCATCCTTCCAACCAGAAAATACTACAGTTCCATGCTGGGGATACAGAACTGAAGGCACCATTTGCATCTTGCTCTGGGAGGTGAACTCTACCTGGGGATGACATAAGCATACCTCCTTAATGCACAGGAAGCCCAGAGGAGCAGCAAGTTAGGCTGGCTGAGGCCTGGGGCTTCTCCTGCGCAGGAGATTATGAAGCAGGATACCGTCTTGGCTAGTCTGGCCCAGCTTGCTGTGTGGCCACTATGGGCAGGACAGAGAGGTCTGGCTTTTGGCCATGGACAGGGCTTATGCATCAGGCCTTTCTGGGCCATTTCTGCTTGGCAGGAACTGCTCCCATGACAAGGTGGTGTCCATGCTGCAGGGCAGTGGCGCAATGCCCACACTGGTGGTGGAGGAAGGGCTCGTCCCATTCGCCAGCGGTGAGACTCCCATACTTCCTTGGCCCACAGATTTGTGAATCACCAGTCTGTAGAGCACTGTGCTCTTCCCCCAGACCCGCAGCTTCCCTTCCCAGGACTGCCCCCAAGTGATGCTATAGAGCCACAATGCCCAGGGCTCTCCCTCCATCCTGTTCCCAGCTGCCAGGGAAACTGCCCTTGGACAGGGGACTCTGGCTCAACCATGATTTCTCTGTCTTTGGCCCCAGCAGACTCTGATTCTTTGGATTCCCCCAACCCATCCTCAGCACTCACCTCCCTGCAGTGGGTGGCAGAGATCTTGCCATCCAGCATCCGGGTCCAGGGAAGGACATTCAGCCAGCAGCTGGAGCACCTGCTCACGCCTCCCGAGCGCTATGGGGTCTGCCGAGCTTTGGAGAGCTTCTTCCAGCACAGGTAGCCAGGCAGAATGAGAGTGGGGCTCTGTCCTGGCTGGGCCCCAGATCCTCACCTGACTCACTATCCTGGTCTCCCTGACTGAGGCTTCTTAGCTCTTTCTCTTGGAGGAAGCTTCAGGAGTAGCTGGTACCAGGCCTCCAGGGGAGAGGGGGGCATTGGGCTTCCCTAGGACAAACCCTGGGGAAGTCACAGACTTCTCTGGATAGTGAGGTAGTCAGGGACAGTGTGTGAGACCTCAAGAGAGCCTCGCCCATGGTATTGGCCATAGGCTAGGCCCTGGGAGTGAAGATAAGGGATCGTTCTACTCCTCAGCTGCAGAAGGCTGCATTTATCACCCCACCTCAGCCCATGGAGTTATTATCATGGTCTGTGCCAAGACTCTCACTCCTTCATTCATTTTGTTTTGCCTCCCCACAACATACACACACTAAGCAGGTACTTTACTACTAAGCCACACCTGCCCTTCCATACCATACACTTCACCCATTTAAATGTACACTTCAGAGATGATCTGGTACATTCACAAATATATGCCATGCATAGTGGCACATGTCTGTAAACCCATCATTCAGGAGGCTGAGGCAGAAGGATTGATGTGAGCTCAAAGCCTGCCCAGGCTACATAGAGTTCAAGGCCAACCTGAACTACATAGTGAGACCTTTTCTCAAAAACCAAAATCAACCAAACAAACACATGCACACAAAAACACTCAACTATGTGCAATTGCCAGTTGATTTTAGAATTTCATCACATTAAAAAAAAAAAGCCTGTTCCTTTCACTATGACACCTCCATAAACACTTTCTTATCTCTAGCCCCTGACCTTAAACAACCACTAATCTATTTATTGTCTCTGTACATTTTCCTATTCTTCAACTTCCATATAACATGTGGACTTTGTTGCCTGGATTCTTTCATGTAGCATCATATTTTCTTTTTTTTTTTGTTTTCTGTTTCTTTCTGTTTAGCAACATGCGTTCAATTTATCTGAATTATAGTGTACTTCTTTCCCTTATGTATCCCATTCTATGGATGTGCCACATTTTATTCATCCGTCTAATGATGGACGTGTGTAGTTCTAACCTCATTCCCTTGGGGGTATAGTTTCTCTCCCAATTCTCTCCACTAGTCTGGTAAGTTTCCTGGAGATTTGTTTGAAAATGTTCTTGTAAAGTATGTGTTACTGTTAGATATGATGTATTTTTCTTTTGTATCATTGTTGCTTTGCATTATTGTACTGTTGTCTGTGTCTGACTATTACACCAAGTAGTGTGTGTAGCTCTGTCCATGTATAGGACTGTGTCCAAAATCCTGCACAGTTGCAGTACCATCCATCTTTTCCATTTTTGGTACTCTTTGGGGTGGGGTCAGTGTACTGGAAATTGAACCCAGAATCTTTACACTGACCTGTATCCCCAGTCCCTGTTTGTTTACTTTTAATTTTTAAGACAGGTTCTCACTAAATTACTCAAGGGTAGGATCAAACATGAATTTGGCCTATGCTACATCTAGCTCCTTGATTTTGGACATGGTAAATATCTTATCCCATTTGTTATTTCCATTGCTTCTGCTTGTGTCTAAGTTGTACTTCTTTGAACAAATGTCCTTGATTTTGTATAATCAAACTCACCACACTTTAAGTCCTTTTCTGATTATGGGACAAAAATATTCTCTTAATTTCATAATTTTACTGTTCATCCAACCAGAGTCAACTTCTATGTGGTGTTAGATAAAGATCTAGTTCTAGAAGCTGGGTGTGGTGGCACATGCCTGTAATCCCAGCACTTGGGAGGCTGAGCCAGGAGGATCGCTGCAAGTTCAAGGCCAGCCTAGGCTAGAGTGTGTTCAAGACCATCCTGAACTACATAGAAAGATTCTGTCTCTAAAAAAACAAAAACAAAAACAAGTCCAGTTTTATTTTCCCATAGATTGCAGGAATCAACTGTATGTCCCTCCATATCCCCCAGCACCTGGGATGGAACGCTGGATCTTGGGCTTGCCAGGCAGGCACTAATGCCATTGAGCCATATCCCTGTCCATTATGCTTCTATGAAGGCCCAAATTCTGTAGTAAGTATTTCAGCCTTTATGGTCCATGTGGGCCTCCATCTCAACTACTCAAATGTGCTATAGTAGCTAGGAAACAGCCAAAGACAAATTATAAACAGTGGCTTTGATCGTATTTTAGTAAAACTTTCTGGCTGGGTGTGGTGGTGCACATCTGTAATCTAGTACTTGAGGGGCTGATGTTAGAGGATTACTGTGAGTTCAAGGCCTGCCTGGGCTACATAGTGGGTTTAAGCAAGACCCTATCTCAAAACACACAGACAAAAAACAGGTAATGGACCAGGTTTGAGCCCCTGGGCTATTTCCTGCTAGTCCATGATGCAGTAAGTTCATTTTCCCAATGCACTTTTTGTGTTTTAATGTTCATAACAATTCTACATGATAGATGCTATTTTTATCCTCACTTGACAGATGAAGAAACTAAGACACAGAGAAGTTAAGTAACTTGAGAAAAGTCACTTAGCTGGTAAACAGCAGAGCTGGGACTTAAAGCTAGGCAGCCTGTTCCCAGAATCTGCCTACCCTGTCCACTACAATATCTTTTAAGGTGGGAGCAGAGGCTAAATTCTGTGGCCCAGAAGTGCCATTTCACCCATCCCCAATACCACCAGACACCCCTGGGTCGAGTCCCTTGCTTCTGCGCTCTCCCCAGGAACATTGACACCCTCATTGTCGATGTCTACCCGGTGCTGGACACACCTGCCAAGCAGGTGCTGTGGCAGTTCATCTACCAGCTGCTGACCTATGAGGAGCAGGAGCTCTGCCAGGAGAAAATTGCATGTTTTCTGGGCTACACGGCCATGACAGGTAAGCATCCCTTTCTCCCGCCCCCTCCTCTGCAGGTAGCTGCCAGCTGCTCAGCCTGTCAGGTAAACAGATACCTGTTCTTACCTGCAAGGTCTCAAAGCTCACCTTGCTCTTCCTGCAATAGATGTGCCCACGTGCCAGGCAAATATACACTCAGCACACTGGGGATTGTTCCATGCTTGGCCTTGAGGATGTGCCTGCATAGCCTGCCCTCCATGTAACATAATCTGAAACTTAAGACTCTCCTCCGCCTCACTTCCTGGGGCCTCAGGAGACTTATGCACAAAATGAGAGTGATCTCAATGGCTATGCTGTGCACCCTGGCAAGTAAGTAATGGATGGAGAAGTTCATATTGATGCTCGCTTTCTGGGAAGCTAAGACAGGATTGTGAGTTCCAGCCCTTCCTAGGTCACTTAATTACCTGGTGAGACCCTGTCTCGAAATAAAAACTAAAAGGGGGGGCAGGCATGGTGATGCACACGTGTAATCCCATAACTTGGGAGCCTGAGGAAGAAGGATCACCATGAGTTTGAGGCCTGCCTGGGCTACATAGTGAGTTTAGGGTCTGCCTGAACTACACAGTGAGATCCTATTGAGAGAGAGAGAGAGAGAGAGAGAGAGAGAGAGAGAGAGAGAGGAGAGAGAGGAGAGAGAGAACAAGGAGGAGGAGGAAGGAAGAGGAGGAGGAAGAGAAAGAAGAAGGAGAAGAGAAGAAGGAGAAAAAAGAGAGGAAGGGAATGGAATGGAACAGAACAGGAGAAAACTCACATGATCCCTGTTGTAGGTATACTAGCCCCATGCCACCTGAATCCCAACCACATGGTTGGGCCATGGTGGATGGTGGGCTCCAGCACACACCACACACATTGAGAGTATGTCCATAAAACCATGTTGACACCTGGTGAAAGGAAGTGACATTAAATCCTGTGAATTTACCTGCACAGGCACTCTGCACCTGCTATGGCAATCCCTGCAGATTTGCTGTTTGCTAACCCTTGGTGCCCAATGTCCCTAGTCCTAGGTGGCCACAGTTTGCTGAAGAGAGTGAGGGCTTCAGCAGGAAGCTCAGGGTCCAAACTAGGCAGCACATGTCCCATACATCTGCCTAGACCTGAAACCTTTCATTTTATCCAACAAGCTCCACTGAGCCACAGTAACAAGCTTGGTCCAGGGCCTGTGAGATAGCTCAGCAGACTAAGCACCTGCTTTAACAAGCACAGAGACCAGGGTTTGATACCCTTTCCCACATGCTGCATCAGCCCTGCCCCCAGGGCTCACTGAGATGGTGACTGAGACACTGAGCCAAAAATATAAATGAAAAAACAAAACAAGCTTGGTCCAGCGCTGGGCATTAAGACCTTGGAAACATGGGGTCCTGAGATGAACCCTGTATGTGAAGAGGGCTTGGACTCCCTCAGTTGAGGCCCTCATCCTCAGGCCCCTGGTTTCTGGTCCCTGTTTTTCCCCAAGAGAAATGTCCTGGCACCAGCAGGGAAGGGGCTCATATGGCTACACATGACTTCTGCCCTCACCCTCCTGCTTGTGCAGGCATAAAGGACAAGGGTCACATCTCCCCTCCATGTTCCACAGCTGAGCCTGAGTCTGAGCTGGATCTAGAGCCTGAACCTGAGCTGGAGCCCGAGCCAACACCAGAGCCCCAGCCACGGAGCTCCCTGAGAGCCTCCTCCATGTGCCGCCGCAGCCTCAGATCCCAGGGCCTGGAGACCAGCCTCAGCTGTGGTAAGGCCCCAATGAAAGTACAGCAAGTGGGAGGAGGTAGGACTGAGGCTCAGTTTTACCACCTCCAAAATGGGCTTGATAAGGGCTGGCCAAATAATTCAGTGGATTAAAGTGCCTGCAAACAGGTGCAGGGGCCAGGTGTTCAATCCCTCAGCTTGCCATGCTGCCCCCGCCCCTGGGGCACACTGAGATGGCGGTTGGGTTGGGTGTGAGATTGAGGTTGGGTGTGGTTGCACGCATCTGTAACCCCAGCTTTTGGGGGCTGTAAACAGGTGCATCACTATGAGTCTGATCTAGTAGTGAGACCCTGGACACCTGTAGACCATTCCCTAAAATTAAAAAAAAAAATGTATTTGCAAAATGGGCATGATGCGATGAGAAGCAGAAGGGACTAGGAATCAGCAGGGCTGGGCAGTGGCCTCTCTGGGTCTTCTGGGCTTGTTGGGTCTGGAGCAGGCCTGAGCCTTAGAGCTCAAATGTGGAAGGTGGGCATGGTGGCACACACCTGTAATCCTAGCATTGGGAGGCTAAGGAAGGAGAGTCACAAGTTCATTCCCAGCCGGAGTAACTTAGTGACTTAGCAAGACCTTGTTAAAAAAGGGATGGGAGCAGGTTGGGGCTGTAGCTCAGTGCCAGGCCCTGGATTAAATCTGTGACACCACAAAAGAAAAAGAAAATCTCAGATGTGGTAACCAGGTCTCCATGGTACCCTCCTGGCAGGTCCCAGCGACTGCCCTGAGATGCCTCTTCCTCTGATCCCAGGCGAGCGCCAGGCTGGTGATGGCACATCTCTCCCCGAGACCCCTAACCCCAAGATGGTGAGACATTCTCCTTGCCTTCTGGGTGGGATCAATATAGTAGGGATTGGTGGCCTACAGGGTAGTGCTCACCTCAGGCCAGGGTACCCTCATGACTACTTCAGACTTGAGCCAAATACCTAGACTTGGCCTCTGAGGCCCAGCTGGGGCCAGTCAGGGGTAATGAGAGCTGGCTAGGTGCACGCACCTCCCCCAGATGTCAGCTGTCTATGCGGAACTGGAGTCTCGACTCAACAGCAGCTTCAAGGGGAAGATGGGAACTGTATCCAAATCCCGGGCTTCCCCACCAGTCCCCAGCCTGGTGGGCACAGCAGGTAAAGGCTCAGCCAGCCCTTGGTCCTCAAGGTATACTGGCCTCTGTCTTTATGATTGTTTGAGTGTCATTCCCCCCCCCCCCCCGCTCCCGGCACACCCCTGGAGCTTCTGCTCTGCTCTGTGAATGGGTTATGAAGTACCCCAGAGACTTCCTGGCATGGGTAGGAGTCATTGTGGCCAGGCTTGTCCCAGCCTCTTGTGCCCTGTGGTCCTCACCCTAGCTATGGATCTGGAAAAGCAGAGATCTGCCCCCAAGAAAGTGCCCGGGTTAGCTGGTGGCTCTTCAATAAACTCTGATGTGCATGCAATGCTCCATGAGTGCCCCAGGTGGGAAGATGGTTTCTTGGGTGTGGGAGATGCCTTCTACCCCTTACTGGGGCCTAGAGAAAGCCTCCTTTGAGTTGGGTCCCTGGTGAGACACCTAGGATTTGTTCCCAGAGGAGCTGGGGTCTGGCCTGACTTTAGACCAATGGTACCTTTCCTGCCATTGGCTCTGGCCTCTAGTCACCTTTAGGCAAGATGATGGGTGGCAAGGTCACCCAGGGTCTTCTGTCCTCAGGGAGGGAAAGGGTGATATCCAATACCCAGAGACCACCTACTCGAGACCCTTTCCTCCAGCCTGCTCCAAGAACCCAGGTGTTGGCTGAAGAGGGAACCTCACATCCCATCTCTCACATCTCCCATGCAGTGCCCAGGACCCTGTCCAACATCTCATGGCCCAGTGAGCGGCTCTTGCCCTCCCCCTGCTACGACCCGCTGTGCTCAGGGGGCCTGGCCTCCCCCAGCAGCTCTGAATCTCACCCTTACGCCAGCCTGGACAGCAGCAGGGCTCCTTCCCCTCAGCCAGGCCCTGGGCCTGCCTGCCCTGACAGCCCCCCTAGTCCGGACCTAGCTCGGGCATCCAGCCGCAGGAAGCTCTTCACCTTTGCGCACCCTATGCGGAGCCGAGACACAGATCGCTTCCTGGATGTGCTGAGCGAGCAACTGGGCCCCCGGGTCACCATCGTGGATGATTTCCTAACACCCGAGAATGACTATGAAGAGGTGAGCATGTGCACAGCAGTGGGACTCTGTGAGGGGAGTAGCATCGCCATTGCTGTAAGAGGTCTACTGCAGACCTGAGTGTGAGGCTGCACACCTGTAATTCCAGCACTCTGGGAGGCTGAGGTAGGATGATGGCCCACTGAAGCCCAACCTGGGCCTTAGCCTTATTTCAAAACAAAAAATAAACAGACCTGAGGATGTAGCTCAGGGTGAAGGATTTGAGTTCAGTCCCCCTCTCCCCCAAGGGGCCTTCTTCCCTCCCGATCTGCCTTGTGTTAATTCGCTACATGCTCCCATTCATCCTACAGTTTGTGTCAGGCCCTGGCTGGAGCTACCTAAAGCCTTCCTCCAGGATATCTCCTTTCCTTTTAGAGGCTGTCCTGCCCTTTGCCTAAAGTTTCCTCTCTACGGTGTGTCTCAAGTGACCCCTTCCTCATCCCAGGCTACACACTCACAACTCCAAGCTAAGCTACCAGGCTCTGCTGCCCCTTTTCTCTGATGAGCCCACCCTTTGCCTGAGGCTAGCCCATCAGCCTGGCTTGGATCAGCCTATTCCTGGTCCCAGGCTATGCTCTACCTTCGCAAACTCTGCTACCTACAGCTTCAGGCTAACTGACTTACCCCAAATCCAGGCTATCCTGCTGTCCCTCCCTTGCCAGCATCTCACCCCCATCAGCCTGCTCTGGATTCTCTGGGCACAGCCATGCCCTGTGTTCATTTGCTCTCTCCCAGATGAGCTTCCATGATGACCAAGGCAGCTTCGTCACCAACGAGCGGAGCAGCGCTAGCGAGTGTATCAGCAGCAGCGAAGAGGGCAGTTCCCTGACCTACTCTTCCATCTCAGACCACATCCCACCACCACCACTCAGCCCCCCACCTCCACCGCCCCTGCCTTTCCACGACCCTAAACCCAGTTCCCGCACCTCTGACCCTCCCCGGGGACCCGCCCAGGCCCTGGCTAAGCCCCTTACCCAGCTTAGCCACCCAGTTCCACCCCCACCCCCACCTCCCCTACCCCCACCTGTGCCCTGCGCACCCCCCATGCTATCCCGGGGCCTGGGTCACCGGCGCAGTGAGACCAGCCACATGAGTGTCAAGCGCTTGCGATGGGAACAAGTAGAAAACTCAGAAGGCACCATCTGGGGGCAGGTAAGTGACCTGGGGCCCATGAAGGCCCTGATCTTAAGTGGGTGGCCTGGGCAGCAGCACTGAAGACAAAAACATCAGCTGGAACATTCCCTGGTCCTCTATCTGTAACAAGGAGTGAGGGCCAAGCCCCAGCGCACACCCACCCTGGCTGATCTATCTAGGCATTGAAGCCAATCCGTATCCCAACCCAAAGATACTCGAGACATCTGGAAATGCCACATTCTCTGGGTCAGATTAATTCTTTAGGCTGTTAAAAGGCCAGCTGATCTAGACTACATACCAGTTCCCGTGCTTCCACTTCAACGCCTGAGTCTCTTCCCACACAGTAGTACCCATCTATTGCTTGAGTATCTTCAGAGACAAGGAATTCACTATCTGTCAAGACCTTCCATTCCTCACTGCACAACTTTATCTTTTTATTATTATTTTTTAAAATTTATTTATTTGGTAAAGGGTCTCACTACGCAGCTTGGACTTGTAGTGATCCTCCTATTATCAGCCTCCTCAGTGCTGGGATTACAGGCACCCACCACCACACCTGGACTTGGTTGCTGACTGAGCGCACTGGGGGCAGGGCCGGTGTGGCATTTGGTACCAGGGATTGAACCCCAGGCCCTAAGCAGGCACTTAGTCTGCTGAGCTATCTCAACCGATCCTTCCCTCACTGCACAGCTTTAGCCATCTTTCTTTGTATTGCTCTGAAGTCTTGTCTTCCTAAGATGTCCTGTTGTCTTGCCCTTGAAACCAAGCAGAACAACTATATTCATGTATCCACCACTGGCCAATCTGTAAAATGAAGATTCAACCCATACCAGTTCTTTGGGTCATTAGAATGTGTTTTCTAGCCCCATACTCCAGTGGCAACGTCTGTGTCAAAGAGCAAGCCCCAAGGGAATTCCAAGTAGGACTTGATTAGCTAAGAGAGAACAGAGTTCTCTCTTCCTTTGACTTAGACATTATATTCATTTTAATATGGCCTGGGATCCCTCTAGCTCTGGGGTTCTCTTACCCCAGTGTTCATGCCTACCATCATCCTCAACCTCAGTCCCTTGATCTTAGGACCAATGTCACACTCTCATGTGGCCACACTGTGTGGAGGAAGGGAGAGTGCTTGTCATTTTTCCTTGTTGCCAACTGCTAAGTTCTAATTCTGTCTTCTCTCCCAGATAAAATGATATCTACTCCAGGGAGATAGCTCAGTGGCATAAGTGTGAAGTCCTGAGTTTGATCCCCAATAAAATGGTATCAACCTGTATCTGAAGGAACTTTTCTGTGTTGCTAATACAGATTCTTAGCAGATCAAGGCCAAGAACAGGGACCCACAGCCTGGGTATCCTTGAGACCCCACTCTTGCAAGATTTAGATGAGTCTGCATGGGTTGCTTCACAGTATAGTGGTCCCATTGCCAGACACAGAGACACTAGCCACACATCTGGCCATATCCCCAGTCCACATCGTGCATCCCTGCCCTGCAGACGTGTTCATAGACTTCATTTCTCTCTCTTCTCTCCCTTTGGGATCTCTCCCTTGGGAATTTCCTGTTCCTTAGCCTTCTCCAAGCCCTAGTTAGTCATTCTAGATTGTCACCTAGACTATCTTAGCCACCTATCCAGAGTCTGGATCCTGGCCTTTTCCTGCTTCAAGTCCTTCAATGCCAGCTCTGCTCACAGAAGATCCCATCCTTTGCCTGAGGCCACCCCACCAACCTGGTCTTGGATCAGCCTTTTCTTTGTCCCAGGCTATTCTTACCCTCCCAGGCTGCAAAGGAAGCCTCCACACAGGGCTAGACCCCTCAGCTACCCCTCTTTGGCCCCTTTGGTTGCCTCCAGCCCCTTCCCAGCTCTGCAGCCTGCTTCTGCATGGATAGGGCTCCAAGATTGACTGCATTATTGACCTCAGGAGAAGCTGGCCCCTCACCTGAGAACTTCAATGACTTAGCTTCTCCTGTAGTCTCCTCCTGCTCTTGGCTTCATCCCTGGGTTTGATGGGTATCCTCTCTCCAGAACCTCCCAAGACAATCCTCAGAAGGGCTTTGGGCAGGAAAGGGCACTTTAGCTGTGGTTGCTCCTCTGACTGAGCTTCCCATGTTCTCTATAGCTCGGGGAAGACTCGGACTATGATAAACTGAGTGACATGGTGAAATACCTCGACCTGGAGCTCCACTTCGGCACCCAGAAACCTGTCAGTGAGTGGCCTCATATCAGGTTCTGGGGCAAGTCCAGATACCAAGGTCCATGCCATCCTGTCGCTAACAGTCCCAAGGGCTGCACTGGCTAGTGTTTACCTAATATGTCTCCAAGCCTTTAAGCCCTCACTTAGTTTTTCACATCTTAAAGTGGAGATTGTGAAAATGGCTGGCAGTTGTTTAGTGTGTTCACCAAATGCCAGATGCTCTCACTCCCAAATTAATCCCTTGAGGACTCTACCAGAGGATTCCAAGATCACTTCCACTTCCTAATGAGGAAACGAAGAGAAGTTGGGTGATTTGCTCACAGTCACTCAACCAGAACAGGGTAGCCAGAAGCCATCTACAAATACCTCTTCTGGTCTCCCTTTCCCCTTCTGAGTATCTCTCTAGAGTGGTTGGGTGGATGTCATGCAGCCACGGTTATTGTATGTGGTCAGTAGTCTCACTATAAAGGAGATAGGCTTGTCCATTCACGAGTTGCCTAAAAAGTCAAGAGATAGTTGGTTTTCATTACTTTGCCAACTCAGTCTCTAGGGCCAGAGGAGAGAGAGCCTCTGAGGAGGTGGCCATGGGGGCATGGACCCCTCTCCCACTAAGTGCATTGGATTAGAAATAGGCCTGCACAGGTGGGAGGCCGAAGAATGAGGGGAGTCTGGACACTAGAGCTGATTTTAGACAAGGTGGTGTTTGGAGAAGGGAACCTCAGCCATCAGTAGAGGCCACACCTCTCCTGGGCCCTGTCAAGGTGGTCCCGAGCCTACACACTAACCTGTCTGGTTTCTTTCAGAGGCTGTGCCCAGGCCAGAGCCCTTCAGGAAGAAGGAAGTGGTGGAGATCCTGTCGCACAAGAAGGCCTATAACACCTGTAAGAGGCCAGAGAATCCTAGGGATTTCTACGGGGTGGGTGGTGCCTCTTCTCTCTAGGCACAAAGCCTCAGACTCACCTGGGTGGATGACAGACATTAGGCTGTGGAGGCCTGGACACTTGTCACCTGCTTGGCTGAAAACTCTCTCCTAACCCCAACACTACCTCAATCCCACCGGGCCACAGGTGTGAGCCTTGGCTCCACCCTGCATTTGGCTCTGCCCTCTGCAATCTTCCCCAGTTCTGGCCCTGCCTCCAACCACATCCTCTGCTTCTCCAAGACCTCTTCCTAGGCTCTGGCTCCATCTAGCTTCTTTTTCTAAAGGATGTGGCTCAGTACTAGAGTTCTCGCCTTGCGTGCCCAAGGTCCTGGGTTCAATTCCTAGTACCACAAATAAAAGTTAAGACCCCCTTAATCAGTCTTAGAAGGGTTTTGAGAATATCACAGACCCCACCTCCTCTTCCTATTCTCTCTCTCCTTGTTCCTCCCAATAACCCCGCCCCGAGTCCCGCCCTCTCCCTGGCCCTGCCCAGTGGCCCCGTCCCGCTCACTTGCGGTCCCGCCCACAGCTATCCTCCTCGCGCACCTGAAGCTTAGCCCAGCCGAGCTGCGGCAGGTGTTGATGAGCATGGAGTCGCGGCGCCTGGAACCTGCACATCTGGCTCAGCTGCTGCTCTTCGCGCCCGATGCCGACGAGGAACAGCGCTACCAGGCCTTCCGTGAGGCACCTGGCCGCCTCAGTGAGCCAGACCAGTTCGTCCTGCAGGTGCCGCGCCCGCGACCCCGCCTCGGTCAGGGCTCCCGCTGTGGCCGCGGCTGCCTGTGTTTCTTGCTCCCTTGGCTCGGCACCGCTACCGCGCTCAGGCCCGAGTTCCAATTTAACACATTTGTTGTTTTCTTTTTGTTTATTTGTTTGTTTATTTTTGTTATTTTTTTTCGGTGTCGTGGATTGAACCCAGGGCTTTGGCACTGGGCTATTTCCTCACTGCTTTCCCCACCTTTTATTTTTGAGGCAGGGTCTCACTAAATAGCTAAACTGCCCACTCTGGGCTCAAAATCTCCATCTTCTGGTTCAGTTTACCAGAGTGCTGGTATTACAGATGTTTGCCACTGCACCTAGTTAGTTTAACAAGTTAAATAATCAGGTCCCACCCAGGACAAAGTAGATGGGATGATATCATCCCCCCAAAGACCAGGCTTACTCTTCCTAAAAGTGTACCAGCCCCAGGCACCCAGCAGAGCCCCATGACAGGCTGGTGAGGGATGAATGAATCCTGATCCTGCCTTTGTGGCAGATGCTGTCAGTCCCTGAATACAAGACCCGTCTTCGAAGCCTCCACTTCCAGGCCACCCTCCAGGAGAAAACAGAGGAGATCCGAGGCAGCCTGGAGTGTTTGCGCCAGGCATCCCTGGAGCTCAAGAACAGCCGGAAACTCGCCAAGATCCTGGAGGTCAGGGTACATCACTTCCCGGTTTGCCTCACCCGTTCCTCTGTCCTGGGGCTTCCAGCCTGGAGACCCACCCTAATACCGGAGTTGAGATGGGTGGGTGGGGGATCTCTATGAACACCTGGGCACCATCCACCCACCTTCCTTCTCACAGTTTGTTTTGGCCATGGGCAACTATCTCAATGACAGCCAGCCCAAAACCAACAAGACCACAGGCTTCAAGATCAATTTTCTGACAGAGGTGAGAACATTCAGAGGTAACTAGGAATTCAGTCTTCTTAAGGCTTGGAAGCCAAGTCTAACTCAACCTGTGATAGAGGGGAGAAAAAAACAAGTGACTAAGAGGGCTCTCCTCCCAGGGGCAAAGCTGGCTGCACAGAAGCTAGGATGGACTACAGCAAGGGTGGGGATAAGGATGGCAAAGGTGACTTCTCAAGTCAGCCTCACACTCTGAAAAAGTAGAGTGGAAGAGGAGATTTGGAAAAGTTTTAAAGGCCAGAAATTGTAGTAGCACCTGTAACCCTAGCATTCTGGGAGATTGAGGCCAGTTCCAGTCCAGTCTGGGTGACTTAACAACTTGAGATCCAATCTCAAAATAAAAACTTAAAAATGAACTGGGGAAATGTTTCAGGTCCTGGGTTCATCCAAGTAATGCCAGGGGTGGGGTGGGGGAGGGCAGGAATTTGTGCCAGAGTGAAGGAGAGGCTGGGCCCATATACTCAGGAGTCTGGGATTCTTGAAGATGTGTGCTGGGGGTCGCTTGCAGTTGAACTCCACCAAGACGGTAGATGGGAAGTCCACCTTTCTTCACATACTTGCCAAATCACTGAGCCAGCACTTTCCTGAACTCCTGGGCTTTGCTCAGGACCTACCCACTGTGCCCTTGGCTGCCAAAGGTAAGCTAGGTGGATGGGTAGGGAGGCAGGATGTCCTGGATTGGGAATGTGGGCCCATGAGGCTTCTCCTTCTGTACAGTGAACCAACGTGCCCTGACCGGTGACTTGGCTGACCTCCATGGTACCATCAGTGAGATACAGGCTGCCTGCCAGAGCATGTCCCCCTCCAGTGAGGACAGGTTTGCTGTGGTCATGGCAGTATCCTCTGATACTCATGCTGAGCCTCATGCTGGACCCATAGGTGGTTGAGTAGACCTGGTTGTGACTCCATTGGCCACTGAAGACACCAGTAGTGATTCTGGAAACAGGCTGTTGTGTGTCCAGAAGTCTTGAAAAAAATGTTTCCATTCTGGGTCTTCTTTTTCTGCAGGCTAAACCCAGGTCTTTTTCTATTTTGAGGTAGGATCTTACTAAGTCACTAAATTGCCCAGTCTGGACTCCAACTTACAGTTCTCTTGCCTGAACCTTCTAGAGTGTTGTGATTATAAGTATGTACCACCAAGCCCAGCCATTCTGGGTCACTTAGACTCTGATGCTTATGCCAAATCTGGGTAACTAAGGCCAGATCTCTTTTTGGGTGACCCAATATCAAGGCCAGAGGAGGAAACTAATCCAGACGGGGAGGATAGCAGTAAGGGCATGTGACGCTTCCTCTCTGTATCCCTCTGGGACCCCAGTACCCCTTGGAGAAGAAGACAAGATTTTTCCTGATGATGGTAGCTCTAGTCAAGGAGGAAGGCTCTGAGGACTATACGTATGGCCAGGTCCTCCACCTGGAAAGCACCTGTCATGCATCCCTAACATCATTGTGTAGTACTTGCAGAGGCTGAGTACTCAAGGCAGATTTTGTTATTGTCATCAGTGTTACATATAGAACCAAATGCTTTCTAAATGCTAGGGAAGGGTTCTACTACCAAGTTTCACCCCTGACTTAAAGTAGGAATTTGACATCGGATTCCTCCCCTTTCCTATCAAGCAAGAGACCCAAGAGGGATTACTTACTCACTTATACATGATCACTGAGCAAATACTGTGGTTGTACAAGGTGCTTCTTGCTGCCCTCCCCTATAACACCCAGATTTTTGTAGATGTGGAGATAATGCCTATTCAAATATGGGTCTTCTTTGTAGCACCCCTTTGTAGCATGAGAAAGGACTCCCTGCTTCCATGGGTTCAGATGGAGGTCCTCAGAAAGAGTGGATGAGCATTCAAGGGCTGCATCTGCAGAAGGACTTGAGCTGACAGATCAGACAGGCCTGGGCTCAAAGTCTGACTCAGGCTGGGCATGCTCATGCACACCATTCTCTGGGGGGTTTTGTTTGGTTTAGTTTCTTGTGGGTGGCTTGAAATAGGATCTCACTATGCAGCTCAGGCCTTGAACTCACTATGTGACCCAGGCTGGCCTTGATCTTGTGGCAATCTTCCTGCCTTGGCCTCCTGAGTGCTGGAATTACAAGTGTTTGCCATCACACCTAGCCTTACACACCACCCTCTGAGAGGCTAAGACAGACAGATCCAAAATTCAGTCCCAGCCTGGGCAATTTAGCAAGACTTCATCTTAAAATTCAGTGAAAAATGATCTGGAAATGTAGCCTAGTATGAAGGTCATGGGTTCAATCTCCAATACCCTCCCCTGACACAAATGTACACAAGGTGGATGGGAGGGCACAAATGTACACAAGGTGGATGGGAGGGCACCAGGCAGGCTGGCCCTTTCCTTAACCAAGGCCCTGCAGTCCTTCCTGGAGACAGCCCAGCCTGCACTGCGGGCCCTGGATGGGCTGCAGCGCGAGGCTATGGAAGAGCTGGGCAAAGCACTGGCCTTCTTCGGGGAGGATTCCAAGGCCACCACCTCTGAGGCTTTCTTCGGCATCTTTGCAGAGTTCATGAGCAAGTTCGAGGTGAGCCACAGTGGAGGATTTGGGGAAAGCCTCTTAGGGAGGTCAAGGCCAGAGGTCTCCAAAGGGCATCCTCCTAGAAGCTGACTTGTAAAGGGTCCCAGAGCTGGGCCTGATGGCTCATACTTGAGATCTCAGCACTTGGGAGGCTGAAGCAGGAGGATCATTATGAGTTTGAGACCAGCATGGGCTACAAAGTGAGCTCAAAGCCAGCCTGAACTACATAGCGAGACCCTGCCTCAAAAAGACAAAAAAAAAAAAAGAAAGAAAGGGTCCCAATAATTGACCTCTGTGCTGGCAGCCAGGAGTGGGAGAAGGAGGCAGGACAGGGGTCCGAGGTCACTCCTAGAACACTAACTGCCCACTGTGCTCCCACCTGCAGCGAGCACTCAGCGACCTGCAGGCCGGGGAGGGTCCCCGCAGCTCTGGGATGACCTCGCCCCTGGCCTGGTGACGGCAGCCACGCCGCATCCTCTGCGGCCTAAGCGAAGAGGCAGATGCCGCCGGAGAGGGCGGTGGGGACGCCGTCGAGGTCCAGGGTGCTGATCTACAGAGCGACAGGCCTGGCCGCGGGCTGGTCGCCCCACACATCTCCAGCTACCTCAGCCACCAGGGCCTCTGCATGCCCTGGTGTGTCTGTGGGTTGCACAAGCTGGGGGTGCCTGCCCGGGGGATCCACAGCCCCAGCATTGCATTGTCCTGCAGGCTTCTGCGGTGCGCTCCCAGCAGGTGGAATAAAGTACTACTGTGTGTCCCGGGGGAGTTGGTTGCTAAGGGACTGTAACCCAGGGGTGCTAGGACCTGCTTTCTGAGCCTGCTTAGAGTGGTTCCCGAGCGGATGAGCCAGGAAATGCTCACCCTACCAAGCCAGCATCCGGAGGCCCCATGCCCAGCCAGGAAAAAGGCAGGAGAGCCTTCAGTCTGGTGTCCTGGGACCGCCAAACTGAGCCCATTTGGTTTTTTGTTTAGTTTGTTTTTGTTTAGAGACAGGGTGTCCTTATACAGTTCAGGCTGGCCTTGAACTCACTATTAGACCAGGCTGGCTTCAAATTTGCAGTGATCTACCTGCCTCAGCCTCCCAAATGCTGGGATTACAGGCATTCGTCACCACACCTAGCTTCAGACCTAGGTCTTGGAAGCTTCCCTTGGCTGCAACTGAGGAGGATGTCAGGAGGAGAGCCATCAGCAAGAGAGCCAGGGAAAAACTGGAGTAGAACTCTCATATCAGACTGCAAGATGGAAGTCCAGCTTTGTTTTGCCAAGCTGGAGCTAGAACTCAGGGCTTTGCAGATGTCAGGCAAGCACTATACTAATGAGCTACATCCCAGCACCTCAGAATTGAGGTTTTGATCCCATGGATGAACTCAAATTCATTTTAGTAGTGATTGGATCAGGGGAGGCTTAGCACAGGAAGGAGATCCTTAAGGCAGTGAATGGCAGAGGGAGCAAGATGCTTAGGTGGCACGGGGGGCAGGGGAGCTGGTTGCCAGGTTTCTTAGCTGGAACAGGTTGTGTGAGCAGGACAGACAACACAATCTAGGATATGAGCAGACTCTCAGAGGCTACTGTCTGTGTGTCTGGAGACAGAGAAAAGTGTGCCCTGGATGCCGGGAACAAGCGGAGAAATGAGCAGGGAGCACAAGCAACTTGTTTTCCAAGTTGTTTTCTCTTGGATTTCTTTTTCTCCCATCCCAGTTGAATGATTAGTGTGGCTCCTGGGCAGAACTTTGAACCCATTGGGTTCTTTCTCACCTTCCACAGTCTTCCTTTTTGACTCCACGTGTGTACTTCTTTGTTCCCTACTCACAGCCCCATGTAAAAACCTCTAAATGAAAATAATACTTCAAAAAGAAATCTGGACATCAAAATGTATGTCTCCCCAGCAGCTCATGTTGGATGGTTTCCTCAAGTTCCTACTGCCCACATCTGTGAGAAACATGTTAGGTCTATTAAAATTCCTGTGGGAGATCTGTAGAAAATATAGACTTCAGTAGGCATGATCACCAGGCCCAACTAAACCCAATGGCATTTTTCTGAAAGTTAGAAACATGCCTCTCCAGGAAACTCAGTCTGACTCTCTAAGGCTTCTCCTAAATTGCCTTGTATCTGTTATTTATTTCCTCCAGCAGGGCTGTATAACAAACCATCCCAAACTTAAAATGAATCACAAATCTACGAGTCAAGCAGGCAGTTCTTTTTGTTTGTTTGTTTTTAGAGACAGGGTTTCACTTTGAAGTTCAGGCTAGCCTTGGACTCACTATGTAGCCAAGGCTAGCCTTGAACTCACAGTGATCCTCCTACCTCAACCTCCTGAGTGCTGGGATTACAGGCATGTGCCACCCTGCCCAGTCAACAAAGAAACTCTAATTTGAGCTGCAGTCATTGTGGTCTGTTAAGCAGCTGTGTTGATGGTGTGGGGCTCTCTCACATATTTGGAGCCTTGGTTAAGTAAGTTGGAACAGCCCTATGCACTCTCTCATCCTGTTAGGATAGCCAGGGTCCAAGAAAGTATGCAAGCAATACCACTGAAGATCCCTTGAGCTTAGACTCTGGACTCTCACCATCTCTTTCATCACATTCTCTGGTCAACACCAGTAACTGAAGCACCTCAGGTCCTAAGAAAAGGGAAGGAGACACCATTCTTTTCTTTTCTTTTCTTTTCTTTTCTTTTCTTTTCTTTTCTTTTTAAGACAGATGCTAATTGGTTTATATCTAGGAAACATTTTGTAAATTTTGCACTGACAGTTTGATTCTTAGTATTTTATGAGTCTAAAAAGTCAAATTCTCTTTCTCTCAAATGAGAAAGACCCAGGGGCCGCGGAGATGGCTCAGTGGAATAAATGCTTCCGTGGCAAGCGTAAGGGCCTGAGTTCAATACCTGGTTCCGGAAAAAAAAAAAAAAAAGAGAGAGAGAGAAAGACCCAAAGACACCCAGATTTTTTCCCCCTAGGGGCCTCTGATGGGATCCAGACCTCTTTATAGAAACTTAAATATAAAATGTCACAACAAATTTAATTTTGTGTGCTTAGTGGGGATTGTGCACTCCTTTCTTCCTTTTAAGAGTACCCAGAGACCTTCTCAGACCAAAAAGCTACAACTCTTGTTGCATAGGTCCTGCTTTACCTTGGTCTTAACCATCCAGTAGAAAAGTATGAAGACGAAATATAGGAAATAAAGCCATGCTGTTATGTTGAGCTGTGGGGGACTCAGGTCAATAATTTCTGACATTGCCAGTTAAACAGAAGACCCAATGCTATAATGGGCTACTGGACTCTTTTAGAATATTTTGCTGAGTTTACACACCTATAATATTCAATAATGGAACTTAGAAAAAATGGGGTATACCGATGAATGTCCATTTTGTATCTGTGTATTCAAAGTGGTTAGGATAGATATAGTGGCATTCTCTTAATGAATAGAATGATTTGTTCTAATGGTGTTTGTAAATAGGATCACAAGTCCACTTCTTGTACAGCAATTAACCACTGAGAAGAATATATGCAGTGTGTTATTTGTTGAAACTGTACTTCCGATTACATTTGAAACTGTCTCATTGCTATCTGTTTATCAATAAAACTTTGAAAAAAAAAAAAAGAGTACCCAGAAAAGCTCATCTTTTGTGGATAACCTCTGTTTTTGGGTTTTTTTCCCCACAATTTTATTGAGAAACAAATAGCAACGAGACAGTTTCAAACCAAATTGGTAGGACAGTTTCAATTTTTAACACATTGCATACATTCTTCCTAGTGGTTAATTTCTGTGCAAGGTGAGGACTTGATATCCTATTTACAAACACCATTAGAACAAATCCCTCTATTCATTAAGAGAATGTAACTATATATCTATTCTAGCCATTTTAATACACAAATACAAAATGGACATTCATCTGTATGCCCTTTTTTTTTAGTTCCATTATTTGAATATTATAGGTGTGTTAACTCAGCAAAGTATTCTAAAAGAGTCCAGTAGTCCATAACAGTATTGGGTCTTCCGCTTCACTGGCAATGTCAGAAATTGTTGACCTGAGACCCCTACAGTGGAGATACCATTCTTAATAAGAGATACTACAAAAATCACATTGAACATGGTGTGGATTCAGTGATGTGTAAAGAATCAAGGCCATTTTTGCATGTGATTATATATATCTCCTTGGCCAGGCACTCAGGTACAGATCCTAGACCCTTAAGCCCTGGTCCTACCTGGACCCAGCACCACACAGGTTACCCATGTGTCCTCCAGGTAGCACCTTTCCCTCGCCTAGTCACCTGTGTGTTATCTGACTCCTTTCCTGAGACATTGCAATGGGCTCTGCCTGCCTAGCAATCTGTCCCATCCTTTGGAGAAAAATTCCATTTTTCTTTTGGAAGAGTATCCCTCCCCTACTCTCAGCCCCTGGAGCTGTGCTGGCCGGATACAGATGATCTTGTGTCTGGCTGGCCAGTTCAGAGTTCATCTAAGACACAAGTCAGGACTGTTGGAAAAGAGAAGCTCCATCTCCTGGAATTGCTCCATGTAGCTGGAGGAAACCTGGAAGGAGCTGTCTCCTGTGAAGTCAAGAACAGAGAAAAGATCACCATGTACAACTCTGTCCCTGGATGCAGTCAGACCTGAAGTTGACTTCTGGACTCAGTTACCAGCTCATCACACCCGAGGATGGGGCCAGCGTGGCATGTGGTACAAGGGATAGAACCCTGGCCCCTGTGCTTGCCTAAGCAGATGCTTAGTCTGCTGAGCTATCTAGTTGGCCTTCATTTAAAATTTTAAAATTTGATTTTAATTTCCTGGTTTAGGCTGTTTTGGTTTCTGTCATTCATAGCCCTAAGTGGGTTGGTTAACACATCCATCAACCAAAGCTCATAAATGTTCAGCCTTGAGGATGCTCATGGATCTCTTTTTATTCATACCTGCATTCACCAGTGTATGGTGGTTTGTTTTTTTTTTTCTGTATTTTAGGGAAGGATCTACAAGGTGTTCAGGGTCTCACTACTAGATGGGACTTGTAGTGATTCTCCTGCTTACAGCCTCCCAAGTGCAGGGCTTACGGGCATGTGCCACCATGCCTAGTCTCAATCACCAACTCAGCGCACCCCAGGGGTAGGGCTGGCACTGCGGCCCAGGGATCAAACCCCCAGCCCCTGTCACCAGTATATGTTTTTAATAGTACTGGGGATTGAACCCAGCGCCTTTACATTGAATTATACCTCCAACACCTTTTTATGTTTTATTTTGAGAAAGGGGCTTCCTAAATTGCTTGGGCTCAACTTAAACTTGGGATCCTCCTGTCTCAGCCTGCCAGCATGCTGGGGTCACATTATGATGTGTGCTACCACACCCAGCACACCAGTACCTCTGATGTGTGCCAGGCTCAGTGCTGGGTGCCAAAATCTTACAGGTTAGCATCTCTACATTTAGTTTTCTGCTTGCTAGGGTAGTTCTACCCCAGATCAGTGCAGT